GAGAGTGTGAGGGGCCACAGATCTGCCCCCCAAAGACGTGTAGGAGACGGGGGGAGCTCCAAGTCCCAGAGATAGAGGCGCTGCCCCAGAACACAGGAACCCCAAGAAGACTGCAACCAGAAAGGCCCCCGCCCCCCTTGAGAGGCACAGAGGATCGCCCCGGAGGGCCGCAACCAGCAGCCGGCAGAGTCCCGGGAGATATCAGCGGCAAGCCCACAGGCCCGCCTGCAGCCTCCCACCCCCTAGCCGGCCGAGCCCGGAACCCAGCGACCCGGGACCCAGGGGCGACCACCCCCGCTGGGGACCCAGCAGAGCCCAGGGACCCAGACCCCACCAGGCAGCCACCGGGATTGATCAGGCAGATGCCAAAAATCTTAAACCCCCTGACCCGGGAGCCACGAACACTCAGGCAGACCAAGGCACCACACTCCACACCAGGTGTGGCAGGGGGAGGGGAGACAAAGATCTATATTATCAAAAGAAGTCCCAGGAGAAGAGAGGAGTCAAAGGCCCCACCTGACATATACAGTCATACACAAGCACAGTCACACACTCCCTCCCTCATGCTCACACATACACATACAACCAAAGACTTACAAAAATGCATGCCGGACACCCACTCTTGCTCCCCATACACACCCTATTCACTCTGGTCCCGGTACTGCTGCACATGGGGTACAACCATTACCGGTTACCAGAGTTTGACCCTTTCTGCTGGGGTGCTGATGAGCAGGCTCCCCCGCCTAATGCTGAGCACAGCAACCTACCACCCCAGACCCCAACCGGATGGCCAGATCTCCCTCCTAGCCTCCAGCCCCAGGAAGCCAAGCAACAACAGAGGTGTGCTAAGACAGTCAGGTGTTTTTCCACAGCTTAGACAACGTTCGTCTCAGACTTTCTTACAGATCAACCATCCATCTAACTGATACAGAACAAATATGTTAATTATTTTTTAGTGAATTAATTTAAAGACCGTGAGGATGTTGCCTCACAGTGAGAGTGACCTGGTTTCAACCTCAGCTCCTTGCTGCATCGCGCTATTATCTCACACTGTCAGCGAATGAGGTTCATTACTATGAGATAAAGTGTTCATTAGGCCAGACTGGAGCAGGAAGGTTAGTTACCAGCTGTGTGTGTGTGTGTGTGTGTGTGTGTGTGTGTTTCACCCAGTTTTTCTACCTAGATATTGTTTCTGTGTAGGGTCAAGGGTTAGCTGGTGCCTCTGTCCGGTGTTCATTGGATGAGAGGCGGGGTTACACCTGGACAGGTAGATAGCACATCACAGAGAGAGATGACTATTCATCTCAGACTTCTTGTTCTTCCCCCTGTCAGGTGACCACTCCTCCCACACTAGAGAGAACGATGAAACAAAAGCCCGGCCATTCCTCTGATATGTAATAAAGCTCTGATTGAAAACAGAGTGCTCCGATTTGATAACTTTAAAACGATGTGACATTTATACCAAGCCAGAGATGTTCAGGGAAACCAAATGTTGCATCTTGCGTCACCTCTGGTGCAGCAGAATCTGGCCAACTCTGTCCCGTTGCAGCAATAACTCTTTAAATAACTCTGCCTACGTAGCAGCGACCAGGCAGGCTGTGGGTTTGTGCTGCCCCCACTGCACACTCCCCCCCCCCCCCCCACCCCACCCCATCTGGTCTGGCATCTCCTGACAGAACCCATAACCCATTTATAATCCTCACATCCATTACAGCCACACAGGAAACACCACTGTTTCTGTTTTTCCTTATAAATCATCATTTATTCAAGCAAAATATTTGAAATCTGGAAAACATTCTCACCCTTTGTGGTGAATACAAGTTAACATGCACATTTGTGTATGTGGTCAGCAGATCCAAACACTTGCTCTTAAACTAGGCGATGAAGTTCTCCTTACTCTGGCTTAGCAGGGTTAAAACTCAGGCAGGTCAAATATTATTTACTCATATATTTATAGAGATGACACTGAACCCACTTTAAGGCTCTGTGGTGGCCTCCTGTGAATCTGGGTTACACCACCACCCAAACCCCTGTCCTGTTTTTGACCCCAAGAAGGAAGGTTTCCAGCAGCCAGAACCATGTAAATACATGGTTTTTAACTAGCAAATTCCTCTGATTTTTGTTATTATAACATGCTAAAGTCAGTGAGACAATGTGAAGACTGTTCTGAATAACAAAACACACTCAAAACAATTGGTCATGGACTTCAAAAAATGTATTTCCATGTATTTAAGTGGGTTCTTAATTACTAAATTAATGCTTTCGGTTCTTAATTGTGACAAAATCTAACAAAAACAAAACCTCTTGTTGCAGTAGATTTCTTTAAAATAATTTATTTACTAACTATCACATAACAGTAATAATAATAATAATAATAATAATGATAATGATAATGATAATAATAATAATAATTGCTGGGTTGATTGAACTCAATTATATCCCTTGAATCTTTGTATCTTTTTCATGATCATTAAAGAGACAATGTAGTTTTTAAAATGGTAAAATGGTAAATGGCTTGTATTTAATATAGCACCTTCTAGAGCCCTGGAACCCCCCAAGGCACTTTACAACACAATCAATCATTCACCCATTCACACACACAGCACCTCACCCTAACATGCTGGTGGGGAAGAGCTACAAAACTACAGGTGCCCTGACAGAGGCAAGGCTGCCGAGCACTGGCGCCACCGGTTCCTCCGACCACCACCAGCAGGCAAGGTGGGTTAAGTGTCTTGCCCAAGGACACAAAGACAGCAACAAACTGAGCAGGGCTCGAACCTGCAACCTTCCGATTATGAGGTGAGCACTCAACTCTTGTGCCACCGTCCCACATTAATCTCTGGAAATATTAATTGAAACGTTGTTGTTGGTGGCTTTGTAACATATAACCATAAAAATGAGGTCTAACATACATGGGAGAGGGTCTGAGGGTGTTTCTCAACGTCAAGGCACCTGGCCTCACAAGGCGATGTCTTGCGAGGCCAGGTGCCTTGCTTACGAGGACACTGTCCTTACTTGATCAAAGAAAACGGTTGAATGGAACAGACTTGCATCGCGTGACCGCGGCTTCTGCGGCAGTCATGTGACACGGGAGATAACGTTATATTTTATATGTATACATTTCAATATAAACATATAATGAGCCTTTTACTTTTAAAATTGTGTATATATTTGTTAAATTAAATATGTAAGCGAGTCACCACCTGCTAGCAGCGAAGCTGCAACTACTAAGCAACTAACCAACCATAACTTCTTTGCATCTGAAAAAATATTTCATGTCAACCCGATAGCTAATTAGTTGACTTATATTTAAACTTGAAATTTGCCCTCGAAGTAGCTGCCAGCTTCTGATCCGCCATCCTTTTGAAAATACCGCAGTGTATTCTGGGAAATTTTTGACCAAGGCTAGGCTACAAGACACCTCCCGTGTATCCTTGTTCAGCTAGCTAAACGGCTAGCAAACGGAGACACCTTGGTAGAACATGAACATTGGAATGCGCCTTGGCGGTTCCTGATGACGTATCTCCTAGGCAACCGAGGCGGGGCCAAGACATCAAGGCAAGGTTCCTTGGCATTGAGAAGCACCCCCCAAGTCTCCGGGCAATGCCATGTTTCCTTCTACGGGAGCCTGTGAGAACAAAAAGCATTTACTGATTTGTAACAAATGGTAACAAAACATTTGCCATTCATAAATGTTGTTATTCCACAGTAATTCTTCGCTCATTTCTGGTGATGAAAGTGAGTCTGATGTGCTTTCCTCCTGCTGGAGGCTGCGCTTCCAGGGATTTTTGACCCTAATGGGCATCTGTTGGTAAGGTTTTACTCAAACACAAATATACCGCTTGCTTGCAATGATTATATACTGCCCTCTATCAACAGGAAAAATACATATCCACTTTAACATGAGTCTTTTTTTTATTTTGGATCTGGTTTCATTCTTTAGACAAGACTGATATAAGTAACACAATATGTCCATTTATATGTTTATGTTTACCTAAAAGGTCTAAGTCATATATAGGCAATTTGAGCAAAACAAACAGCTTTAATTAAAAGAAATTTAATTAAACCCGCTCAATGTGGTGGAATAAAGCCAGAAAATAAATTTAAAATGTTATTTTCCAGACAGGTTTGGAAAATGTCTCAAGCTTTTCTTTCACACATGCCATTCAGAGCAAGTTTCAAATTAAATGTTAAAAACACAAAATTTCCCCCAATTTTTATTAATCGAACTGCCCAAATAATTAAGTAACAAAAACCTTAAATAAACACCATCAGGCAACCAGAATGTATCAGCAAACATTGATTCATGCGCCCGATAAATCAAAATTTAAGTGATAAATTAATGCTTTTAAAGACATTAATTTAGCATAGATTCAACGTGCATTCATGGTTTTCACACAAAAACCCTGAAAGAGGATCAGGAAACAAACAGAGCCCCTTCTTTTAATTTTGAATTAATGTTTTCATTTATTTATTTCTTTGTTTGTTGATTGTTTCACGCACATTGTGAAAGAAGAGATGCTCTTTAGGAAACTGTGGGTGAATTTATGTTCAACAGGTTTCCTGAGTGGGTCAAATGGAAAGCAGCATTATGTAAGGATTTAGTTTGAAATAAAAACAGCATCATGGAGAAAGTTTTTAATAAGATCCATAAATGACAAAACATCAAGTAGCTTTTATCAGCCGACAGAAACACATGTTAAAGCATGTATGTGTGCATGAAACTGGCACCTGAATATTTAAAATGATGCTCTCACAGAATAAATAAAATTGTTTTGTGGACACACACACACACACACACACACACACACACACACAAAAAGAAATCCGTATGTTCTGGTCAGGCTGGTCCACATCAATCATGAAAAAACCAGTTGGTCCTTTCAGCGCCGTCGATCACCAGCTAACTATTAACACTTCACAGAGGAAGAGCATGTAGTCTCCAAATGCCAAGTATCTACAGTGACACTGAAGGAGAGAGGGAGAGGGAGGGGGAGGAATGGAGCTGAGCAGTGAGCAATAGTGCGCTGGATGTGGGATATCGAGTGGGTTCTGCAGCAGAACCAGATCAGATGGCAGATTCACTGAGAAGTGAGAGACATGTGGAAGAGGACAGACCAAAGTGAAGATCTACATTTTAGAGGGATCTGGACTGACTGCCTCTGAATTCTCCTAGTTCTGGATGGCTGCCCTCATTTTGTTTTGAGGGCCCAAATTCATCTCCAGAGCTTCACCGAAGTGCTTCTGATCCACTGGACACCAGCTGAGTGATAACGTTTGCAACGTTTGACAGAAGCCAGTGTGAATGAATCAGGCGGAGAGATGAAGATCCTCTCCAGTGGTTTCCTTTCCTGCCTCAGGAGGATAGAGTGGTTCTACCCTTAGCAGGAGAGAAGAAGTGGACCAAGGATCAAGAATAAAAATGCAACAGTTTGGCTAAAAAGGAACAGAAAAGTTGTGAATCTACATTTAATGGGAGCAAATGCACAAACGGTAAGCTGCTTTTGACTTTAGATTACAAGAATAACACTCTGCTTCAATAAATGATAGACCGAGTTATATTTGTACTTTCTACCCAACGCCAGGAGGGATCGGGTCTAATCACTGCTTTTGTGTTAATGTCTCAGCTCAGCAGGCAGAGTGTGACTTGTGTAACAGCAGACGAGCGGTCACACAAAATACTAGATATTATTATCTCCTCCGACACGCAGACGGCTTCCTAGCAACTAGGAAACTGGAGGGAAAGAAATTATGTAAAACAAGCAAACCCGCTCATGTGCTCCAGGAACTCCAGACTTAAAAAAACATACTTCAAATGATCAATGTAGCTAAAATTATTTAATAAATTAATCCTGTTCCTACTTTTGATTGCTGTTAAAAACAGGGATAGTGCATAAGACATTGAAGTTTTATTGAAAAGGAAGGAAAACTGTACTCAGCAAATATTTCTTATGTTGGAAAAGATTCCATCTATATTAATATAAAGCATGATACCTCCCAGTCTTGTTGTTCTTCGTTTACTATTTAAAGGTGTTTAAACACTTAAAGTGAGTAAAGATGTGATTATTGGATGTGCAGGAAGCATGCTGCAAATGTCCTTCTTGTCTCGATTAAAATGGCTGCATAATTCTTGCATAAAATATGAATTATTTTACCTTGTTTTTTATTTCCTCCATAAAATTGTTTTCTAGGCTGGTGCATGAATAAAAAACACGTAAAAGACCAAACCAAATCAACCCCTCGCAGCAGCTGCTGCTAACAGATTAACAGTGGTGCTTTTGTTTTTAAAGAATAAATCTCCTAAAATAACATTTTACCTGAAACCCAGTAATTTACTGATGTTTCATAGAGCTTTGTAATTATAACATCTGAGTAAGATGTAATGCTGAACCCAGATTCTGACAGTGAGTGCATAATAATAAATATAATTATTATATTTACTTACAGGAGGTTTCTGCATTTATGCTGATAAAAACTGCTGTAACCAGACAACACCATCAGTTTAGTTTGCCGTAAATTTTAAATAGAAATAAAATATTTAGAAATGCAGAAAAATTCTTGTTTGTATCTTAGTTTGGACAGAATTTATTAAAACTCATCGAGATCCTACAGCTGGAGTTGATATCTTAGCCTTTGAGCATGACTTTATTGAACTTGATAGTTATTTTTATTAATAATAAAGTCCAGCCATCACATTTTTCTCACATGTAGACGCCCTCTTGAACCATTTCAGACCTTTTTCAATGACTCCTTCAATGATGATGTCATCAACCCGTCTGTATCCGACGCTATCTCCTCTATGAGACCAAGTTTTCTGCCCCATCTGTTTTTTATAGCCCATAATACTTTCCACTTGAGTCCCGCAAGGGGACCTCGCAGCCGCATCACAGCCCTCCAGTGGCTCTCATATTGGTGCCAGCTGGAGGAAAAACAAGATACGTCACAAAAAAAGCGGCAGGACATTAGATTAGCTGGCTATTTATGTGCCTTGTTGATCAGTGAAATGTGATTTCTATAGACCACAGTATTTCCCGCGGTGCCTAAAGTTATAGGAATAGATTGAGACAGACTTGATTTAGGTCTTTTTATCCAGAAAGTGCAAGAGGAAGGTTGGATTAATCAATAAAGAGTGCTGAAACAGGGGGATTTAAAGTGTCAGAATGAATGAGGCCAGCTGTAATCTTGGCAAAAATCTTTAAAACATTATATTTTATCCATTTCAACGTTGAATTTGTTTTTACTCTTCTCAGTGGACTAGTGGTAGAGTGTCCGCCCTGGGACTGGGAGATCGGAGTTCAATTCTCAGTCAGGTCATACCTAATACCTTAAAAATGGGACCTAATGCCTCCCTGCTTGCCAGTCATCTTTGAGAGGTTGGTAGTAGTTATAGATCCCGAGCACAGCCGCCGCTGCAGCTTGTCGGGTCAAATGCTGTAATGAATTTCACCAGTGTGTAATGACTAATCTAGACTTTATAGTTTGTAGAATAAATGCATCAAGTGTTGAAAACAGCTGACCTTTAGGGGGCAGATGTTGGTTGCAGCCATGACGCTGATATTGAAGCTGTTTTGCAACAAGCTTCGGTCATAAGTTTATTTTTGGTTAAGGAGCCTGGTGAGGGTTGATGTGTGGACAGCAGAAGTTGCAGTGAGAAGGAGAAATGGATTCCCCTGTAAATAGTAATGAAGAAATAAAATACTACAGGGAAAAAAGCCATTGTCCTCATAGGCGAGCGTCACTTTTTATGAGGTTAAAATGGCCAAAATGTGCTTAACTGTTGAAAATTCACAAAGTTAATTGTGCTTTTCTTTTGTTTTTTCTCTTCAATCCATATTCTTGGTGATAATGACATCCTTCCCATCTTTATTTCCAGGAGTTGACTGTAAATTCTGGGTTTGAGCTGGACTGAGGGGTAAACTTCAGTGGGCCTGGTCCGTTTGTGGTGGCGAGAAGCCCTGTGGCTGTGTTACACTCAGAGATGAGTGTGGGAAGGGCTCACCAACACAGCTTCTTGTCCTGTGAAGAAGAAGGAGGACTCAGGCTGAGTACCATGCCTGCTGTGGGCAGCTTTGGCAACGGCAAGATCCACACGAGGCGCAAATGCCACAGCCGCTTTGTCAGCAAGGCCGGTCAGTGCAACGTCCACTTCTCAAACATGGACGAGAAGTCCATGAGGTACATATCCGACATTTTCACAACTTGCGTGGACATCCGCTGGCGATACATGTTCCTGCTGTTCAGCCTGGCATTTGTGGTGTCCTGGCTGTCGTTTGGGTTGGCCTTCTGGATCATTGGCCTTCTGCATGGAGACATGGACAGCCAAGGAATGGACAGTGACAGTTTTGTTCCGTGTGTCAAGCAGGTCCACACTTTCGTGGCAGCTTTCCTCTTTTCTGTCGAGACCCAGACAACCATAGGGTATGGAGCACGCTATGTGACAGAGGAATGTCCAACAGCTGTCTTCATGGTTGTCTTTCAGTCCATTATGGGCTGCATCATTGACGCCTTTATGATCGGCGCCATCATGGCCAAGATGGCGAGACCTAAGAAGCGAGCTGAGACTCTGTTGTTCAGCCACAACGCGGTGATCGCCATGAGGGACGGGAAGCTGTGCCTCATGTTCAGGGTTGCTAACCTGAGGAAGAGCCACATTGTGGAGGCTCATGTGCGGGCCCAGCTGGTAAAGCCCCGTTACACAGAAGAAGGTGAGTACATCCCCATGGATCAGATCGACATGAATGTGGGATACGACAAAGGCACAGATCGCCTGTTTCTGGTTGCACCCCTCACCATCATCCATGAGATTGACGAAGAGAGCCCATTGTTTGGCATCAGTAAGCAAGACCTGGAAACGTCTGACTTTGAGATCGTGATCATCCTTGAAGGGCTGGTGGAGGCCACGGCCATGACGACCCAAGCACGCAGCTCCTACCTGCCTTCTGAAATCCTGTGGGGTCACCGCTTTGAGCCCGTCATCTTTGAGGAGAGGAACCAGTACCGAGTGGATTATGCCTACTTTCACAAAACATTTGAGGTACCCTCCACCCCCAGGAGCAGCGCCAAGGACATGGAGGAGAGAAAGTTCCCCACATCTGCCGCCAACTCCTTCTGCTATGAGAACGAGCTGGCTTTCATAGGCAGGGACGAGGAGGGAGAAGGAGGAGAGACGGAGCAGTCTGAGCTGACCACCTCTGAACGAAATCAACCGTCCTCCCGACAGGAATCTGCTATTTGACTTTTATCTGCTACAGACACAGGAGGGTGCCTGCAGCAGATGGAAAAGACTATCTCCATCATACTTGGACAAAATCTAAACCTACACTGGACGTACACTTTTCTTCTCCTGACTTGGATTTTGAGCTTTATTAGACTAGATTATACTGCAGATGATCCTGGTTACAGCGCATGACAACAATGTGGTTTTATACGAGTATTTTGAAAAAATTAAGGCTCCTGTAGATACCCTCACTTATGCAATTTATTATTAAAATACCTACCGTGATTTCCCTCAAAGCAAAGGGGCAGAATTTCCTCAAAGGCACAAATAAAATTAAACAGAAATACAAAGACAATTTTTGAGCACAGAAAATGGTGTTAAACACTCATTCACAAAGAAAAACTGATGTGATGTTGGATTTTAATTTAACCAATAGGACCCTTTTCATTCTGTTGTATGTTTGATTTTTCCAAGGAAAAAAACACAAAAATAAATTTGATCACTAACATCAATTTGTTTTTTTGCAAATATAAAACAGATTACTACATCAATGAAGGCAGATTTCACCAAAAAGTTGGTTAATGGTCTGTTTAACGTCTTTTTTAAAAACAGCTGTTTTTGTAAATAATTGTTCTCATATTTGTTCAATGAAATAGTTTGAAACACAGAATTCCTGTTAGGCTAAAACTACAGCTAATGTGTATTTTAGAAGAGATTTCCCTGCTAAGTGAGTGATAAATTACCTGGCAATGGCCTGAAAGCAGCATCACACCCTGATGATGTGAAGATCAGTGTAAAAAAATCTCTCAGAAAGGATCTACAGTATAAAGATTAGCTCTCAGATTCCTAAATAAAAATAGCAAAATCACATCTAGATTCCATTTTTGGTTCTTTTTTAAACACAGATAAGGTTTCTCTTTACCTTGCTGACGTTTCGTTTGTGGCTGCAAACATCCTCAGAGCTCACGCTGATGGTGACGTCACTTCCTACTCCGTTTATCCGCGGGCAGCAGAGGACGCTGTCGCCCCCTGCTGCCCGCTCTCCCCTCTCCGATGATGCAGTCCCATGCGCGATCCAATAAGTAAACTCCATCGTCTCTGTTCATGGTCCCACATCCACGTCTCCTTATCTCAATAGCTTCCTTTATCGTTCGGTGTTTATGATCCATCTAGATTATTTAATAAAACCAGTCATCAAGCTGCTTTATGTAATTTATCTTTTCTTAAAGAACAGGTTCAAATGGTTAAATATTATTCATTACTGCTGCCTTAAATAAAATAATACGAAATAATTAACATATGCAAACAATAATTAAATACACTTACTAACGATTTAGGCCAAATCAACAAAATTTTAAGAGGAATGTAAACAAAAGAAGCAACTTGTGCTTTAGATCCTTCCTCTAATGCAGTTGCACATATTTTCAAGAAAATATATATTTATACATTTCATATGGGTTTAATATAAAACAGCATCAAGTATTGTTTTTCTTGTAAAAGCTAGTAAGAAATACCAAAATGTAAAAAATCAGCACAGAGCCAGCAGTTTATATTCACCGTATTTTAAAGAATGAACACACGGATTATGAAAATGAGAGCATGTAAGAAATAAGATAGAAAATAAAACCCAGCCAAAAACAATAAAACACCAGAAGGTTTTATGATAAATGTAAAAAATGCTTTATTAGGATAAATGTGTCAGGTTGTGAAGAAAACAAAGGAGGCAGTTGTTCTTGGGGAAAGCATCAGTGCAAGTGTGTGTTGCATTTGTACGTTGAACTAATTTATTCTGGAATTATTCTGGATTAGAGTTTAAAAACTTTAGCATCTCAGGGTTTAGAGCATCAACATTCTCACAATCGCCCTGATTTTAAATGAGAAGAAAACATTTTTGCGAAATTAAAGGGGTTCTAGAACATTTACCTTGTTGTTGTTGAACATAGGCAGCTTGGGTTGTCTAATGTAGCAAACCAAACATCCATGTTGTCTCCAACCTGTTTTTTATCTAAACTGGTAATGTTGTAATGGCCATAGAGAAACAGTTTGTTCTGAGAAAAGCTGGTTCAAGCCCTGAGCTACTGCTAACGTTAGCCAGAGTTACTGCTAACATCCTTGTTGGACAAGAGGAAATAACACAGGAGAATGCTAGAGCTAGCATGTAACGTTCCAGGATGTACGGGGAATACCAAGCTTGCCTATTGAGTAAGCCAAATACTCTACACAGCTGTACACAAAGTAACTAGCTTCAGTCTTAGAGCCATCAGGGTAAACTGGTCAATCAGCATGCAGCTCATTTATTATTCATGTATCCTCCCAGTGGGCGGGGCAAACAAGTCTTATTATTATTATTATTATTATTATTATTATTATTATTATTATTATGGGGTTGAGTTTTGCCATTCCTCAGGGCTCCTGGGACATTTTGCCATAGAGGCTGAAACAGCAGTTTATTTTGTAATTAAACAACTCATATGTTAGGAATTCATCTCAACTTCCCAAACATCAAAGAAAAACACAAAACTAATCAAGATTATTATAACCAATTTCACTATAACTCCTCCTGAACCAGACTAGTCAGGGTGTCGGTGAAGTACTCGCTCCAGCATGACCTGTCTGACATGGTCCCTCTTCTTCACCTTCCTGTCACATCTCCGTTGTTAAATCAAATCTACCCAGTACACCATAGTAAAAAGATACCTAAATCAATATCTGATTGCTCAAAACCACTTTTTTTCAAATTATTTATAACCCTTGAACGATTCAAAAGGTTTTGGAAATTGTACAGAGAGATTTTATTCCAGATGAAACACGGATCTGAAGATCAAAACTCTCATTGTTTAGAAAACCCGTCACGTCTACTTGGAAATACGTCTACATAAATTGAACTTTACAATAAAAACAAAAAAGGTCAAATTTTGAGAATTAAAATCTGACTCATATAGACTTCGAGGTTCTGTGTAGTTTCACTCTGATCCAGTAGTTGTTGCTAAATGCTGATTTGTTTGTGAGTCACACACCAGCTAAAGTCTTAAATTCCAGGTTTAATGAAAGCAATGAGGTTTTGTCCCACGGGCGGGACACTGGAATGCTAAGGGGTTAAACCACCCAATGAAAGCACCTTAAGATGGCTTTGGCTCTAATACCGAACATCTCACTGTTGTTTAAACGTTCCTGTACTTTTCCACCCTCCTGCTGTAGTATGAATGTGTTTTTCTCACTGACAAGTCCTACAGATGTAGGTCAGAATGTGTACTAATGGTATTTCTCTCCCAGCTGAGATAAATGACATGTTCCTCCACGTTAGTCAAACTTAAAGCTCTATGTGGGTTAACTTAGTACACCTGACGACCGTTTCAGCAGCGTTCAACGCGTTTGTTTTTATTTTTTGCTGACCTGTGCTGAAAAGAACAGAACCAGCTCGCTCCAGAGGCCTAAACGATGGTTCTGATGAAAGCTCCTGTGGCTGATGGGTCTCACGATGTAAACTGGTTTGGATTTTTACCCGAGTGAAGAATTACCAATCACCGTACTTTTTTCAACTTTACTGAAATCAAACAGAGATGTGTGACTCTGATCTTTTCCTGCTGTCTTCCACCTGATCCTGATGCATTTAAAGCCATTCTAAATCTAATTTGCACCTTTTCTTTTTCCTTTGAGTTTGTTGTGTGATGCAACATTTTAAATAATACAAACAAACTAAAAAAAACCTGCTGATGACTGCAATAAAACATGACAAAGCCAAAAGTCTTCCTTTCATTTCTTTATTGTAGTCAAATGCTGTAGGGATAGACACATGGCACTTAAAGTAGTTTCCCTGGTGATAGGGAGCACTTTGTAACTAAATCATTGCAAGCAAGTGAGTCGTTTTGTGTTTGAGTAAAACCTAATCAACGGAAGACCATTAGGGTCAAATTTTCGAACAAATACTTTGTGAGAGTGAGAGTTGGACTCCGCCAAGGCTGCCCTTTGTCACTGATTCTGTTCATAACCTTTATGGACAAGATTTCTAGGCGCAGCCAAGGTGTGGAGGGCATCCGTTTTGGTGGCCTGAGGATCAGGTCTCTGCTTTTTGCAGATGATGTGGTCCTGCTGGCTTCATCAGAACGTGATCTTCAGCTTTCGCTGGAGCAGTTCGCAGCCCAGTGTGAAGCAGCTGGGATGAGAATCAGCTCCTCTAAATCAGAGACCATGGTCTTGATTCGGAAAAGGGTAGAATGCCTTCTCCAGGTCAGGGACGAGGTCCTGCCCCAAGGGGAGGAGTTTAAGTATCTTGGGGTCTTGTTTACGAGTGAGGAAAAACTGCAGCGTGAGATAGATAGGCGGATTGGTGCTGTGTCTGCAGTGATGCGGGTGTTGTACCGGTCTGTCGTGGTGAAGAGAGAGCTGAGCTGGAAGGTGAAGTTCTCGATTTACCGGTTGATCTACGTTCCTATTCTCACCTATGGTCATGAGCTTTGGGTAGTGACCGAAAGAACGAGATTGCGGATACAAGTGGCCAAAATGAGTGTTCTCGAAAGAGTGGCTGGGCTTTCCCTTAGAGATAGGATGAGAAGCTCGGTCATTCGGGAGGGGCTCAGAGTAGACCCGCTGCTCCTCCACATCGAGAGGAGCCAGTTGAGGTGGCTCGGGCATCTGGTCAGGATGCCTCCTAGACGCCTCCCTGGTGAGGTTTTCCGGGCACGTCCAACCAGGAGGAGGTCTAAAGGTAGACCCAGGACACGGTGGAGGGACTATGTCTCTCACCTGGCCAGGGAACACCTTGGGATTTCCCTGGAGGAGCTGGCCCAAGTGGCTGGGGAGAGGGAAGTCTGGGTCTCTCGCCTTAGGCTACTGCCCCCGCGACCTGACTCCGGATAAGCGGATGAACATGGATGGATGGATGGATGGATGGATGGATGGATGGATGGATGGATGGATGGATGGATGGATGGATGGATGGATGGATGGATGGATGGATACTTTGTCAGATCGTTCAACCTCCAGCAAAATGAGAGTGACGTGCACATCAGACTCCCTTTCATCACTGGCAACGAGCAAAGAGGTAAATGTGTAAAACAACGTTTATGAGTGGCAAAAGTTCTGTAACCGTCTGTTACGAATCAGCAAATGCATTTTGTCCTCACGGGCTCCTGTAGAAGGAAACATTGTGTCTAATATGCCGTCGCCCAGAGACTCAGACCCGCTCTCGTGTTTTAGACCCGATTTGGTTATATGTTACGAAACCGCCAATATTTTTCAACAACTGGGCACCTTTTAATTGATTTTCAACAATGTTTCTATGGATATTTCCAGAGATTAAAACTAAACATTGTTAATTTAAATTTGCAGCAAAATAAATAAGTTTTAACTTCTGGGTGACCATTTCATCAATGGAAACTAGTGATGCACCGATACGAAATTTTTGGGCCGTTGTCAATATCCAATATTAATATCACTGTTGTGGCCGATAACCGATATTTGCCGATACCTATATACTGACATTAATGCTTCTAAAATCAGCAATTTTGTACAAAATGAAAATTATTGAAGCCAAATTTACATTATTATGTGCATACCACACACATTTACGCTTCTGAGATGATTACAATCACTGTTCACATGGCTAAACAAATACACATCACCCCCTCACCCTCTGAAACAGGCAAACAAATGGAAACAAAATGGAAAAAATATCGGTTGATAATATCAGCCCGGTTTTATTTATCGGATCGATATCGATATGTTAAAAAATTACTAACATCGGCCGATACCGAAATTGATGCAGATGTATTGTCCATCCCTAATGGAAAGCTAAAGAGAGCTTGTTATATTCCCTTATCCAACATCTGTGAGGCTAAATATTCATTAAACTCCTGCTAAGAGACAGATACTTTTAACTTTGCAGCCAAATGAAAGTATAATTTGTTACTTTTGTGTTACTCTGAGATGTGCTGTGGGATGGAAGGTGCACTGAGAACAAACTCAAGATGCTTCCCACCCACTCGGAGCTGGAGGAGGAGGAGTCCTGTAGGGTCAGGAACTGAGCATGCAGAGTGGGCTGCTGAGAGGAGCTTTCGCCTTTATTGCTGCAGCCCTTCAGCTGTATGAAAAGAGGCAGAGGGTGAAAAGACGAAGCACAAGGCTACAGATTCATTCGCTTCAGTAAAAAGTCTCTTGATGTTTCAGGCTCAGTAATTTTCACAAAGCTTTCTTTAATTCTAACTGAGAGTTGATCAGTTTGTCTGGTTTTGTCACAGGCTTTCAGATCACTGGTCTGAAAAATAAAAGTTGTATTTCAAAATATATTTTACCAGTAAAAACTACAGTTGCTAATGTTATATTTAGATTTTTTTCAAAATAACAGAAAAAATGTGAAGTGATGCTTCAGATGTTTCAAAGGGAGTTTCAATGAACTAGCGGACTGCTGATCTGAGCGAGGCTGGGAGGAACATAGAAACGTTCAATATCACTTCCTGTTTAGTTTTTCTGGGTTTATTTCTTCAAATTTTTGACAAAGAAATGTAAACATTTGTTGTGGCAACATTTCCAGCCCAACTCAGACTGGTTTATTTCTTTATTGAGCACATTTAAGTAAAATTTGACCACAGTGTTGAACAGATAAAAGTAAAAAGTTCAACCAAAAACACCACATACAGCTAGTTCTGCTAGTTTCTGCTGCAAATGACAAAGAATGAACTGTGTGCTCAATTAATTGTTGAGTATCTTGGTCATATCACAATTTTTAGACATGTATCATCTCCAAGCTGTATAAACTGCTAATTGATTGTATAGTGAGGGTGTACTAGGGTGTGCATAATCTCAGGCATCTTCATTTTTCTTGGCAAAATTGGGTCAAAAAAGATTGAACTGACTCTCAAAAGTCAAAATTACAAACAGTCTTTCCGAGTCTGTATCACTAACAGGCACAGAGCATCACTGCCACACCAGCACGGTGGAGGTGGGGTACTGGTATGGGCTAATTGGGGTTGAAGGTGGACTCAAACTCAACTCCCAAACCTACATTCAGTTTTTAGAAGTGTTTTGTCAAGCAGTGCTACTGGAAAAAGACAGATTTTTTTTAATCCTGGAAAACACTCCATCACATGCATCAGGGTACACCGCTGCATGGCTAGCCAGGAAAGTGACCCCCATCCTCACCTGACCTAAACCCAAGTGAGAACATGTAGGTCCATCTCAAACAGGAGATTTACAGGGAAGGATGTCAGCCATTTTTAATTAGAAATGATTGCATTGCCTGTTTCTTATTCTCAGTGTAACAGATCCAGTTTGGTTTAGCTGGGTGATAATTCTGCAGACCAACAATTTCCTCCATGACGATGTTCACGGCACGCTCACATTTCTTTTGCGTAACGTTCAAGTTTCTGTCACGAACAGAACTCAGAAGACCCGTGAAGACGCCAAACACAGTAATAAGTAGATAAAGTCTTTTATTTGGTGGAGTTACAGAGGTGGGCGAGGCTGAGGCAGGGTCAGGAGGAAGCATGGGTCAAAACCAGAGAGATCCGTGAATGCTACAAGGGCCAGGCAGGACGCAGAATCCAGGGAATGGTCCGAAGGTCGAAAATCCAGGGGGTCAGAAGCAGAGAAACAATCCAGGCAGGGAGCAGGCACGTGGGCAGGTAGAGATACAGGAACAAGGTCAGGATCAATGATTCAGGCAGAGGTTAGGAGTGCTGGAGAATTTACTGGCGTGAGCTTTCAATAATCTGGCAGTGAACTGGCGGCTGGCTGGTGAATATAAAGCAGGAGGAACAGGTGTAGTGAATGAGGCTGATGACAGGAACAGGTGAAGTGGATGAAGCTGATTGCGGTTGGCAGGGAAACAGGGCTTGTCAGGAGCTTGATGAGGGAACCAGGTGTGCTGCATAAAGGCTGAAGGCTAGATGAGGAGGCAGAGGAGCGTGAAGGATTGGGAGTCATGACGGTTTCAGGTTTATTCAAATTTTAGGCCTAGTCCACATGTAGCCGGTTTTTTTTTTTAAACGAATATCCGCCCCTCCAAAAACTTGCATCCACACCACCTCGTTTTAAAAAAAAACTCTGTCCACACGTACCCGGATAAATACGTTGCTAAGGACATGCCAGACCTGTAGGCGGCAGTACTTCCCCCGTTCTGAACCTCGTCCTTCGTCTGTGGTCTTCCACAAGGAGCAGTAATTCCGCTTGCAAAAACAAACAAGCAAAAAGCGCTCGGACAATTGATAAAGTGAGCGCAGCTCTGAGGGCATCCATGCTGTCGGCTAGTGTAAACACAGGTCGCACACGTGATGTCAGCATTTTTTTGTCACGGAAAGTGACGTTGCGGACCTTAAAACTCCGGTTTTGTCCGTCCACACGCAGACACCCAAAACGGAGAAAACGCAGATCTTCACTTTGGCCGGAGTTTTTAAAAAGATCCGTTTTCGTGTGAAAAAACTCCGTTTTCGTGTGGATGACAAACGTAGAAAAATATCTACGTTTTGGCAGATCCCCGGCTACGTGTGGACAGGGCCTTAGATTGACTGATGGTAATTTACTTGTTTCAGTGTTACATAATCCCCCAAAATAATTGAGCACATAATAATTATGGAAAACTCGGCCTGGTAAAGGCAATGACGATTTGATCCTTCTTTTTGAGTTATGTTTACCCACACAACCAAGTAACCCTGCTAAGCTCATGTCTTTAATGTTATGTAATGATTTCTTTAAATGAAACAAGATATTGAAGCCCTTCTTGTCATGACGACATCATATAATCCAGACGT